GGCTGTTTGGGAGTCCTAGGACGCTGGGAGCGACGATGCTGAGTGTGCTGAGGCTGGTACCTGCGCATGACAGCGCAGGCATGGACACAATGGCCAGGAAGTGCGCAGAACGAGCAGGAAGCCTCAGGGGCACATCTGCATTGCTCTAGAGGTGCTGACAACGAAGTAGAAGAGTTGGAGGACATAGCAGTGCAGATAAGATAGGATTTGGGAGCAAGGCTCAACCAAGAAGTGTCCAGGACGATTAGAGACGATCCAGGGATTGTTGAAGTGGCTAGAGCGCGGAGCTCATAACCTGTTAAAGCTCAGAGAGCTTGGGGAGCGAACTAGTCACTTGGTGGGCTGCCTTAAGCACTGGAGCTAGTGTCCAGAGTAAGTAACTGTATTGTGCACTGGAGCTAGTGTCCAGAGTAAGTAACTAAGTTGTGCAGGATCATAAGTACCATACCTAGTGTCCAGAGTAAGTAACTAAGGGAAACAAACTATCAGAACGAACAAGTGCAGCCCCAAACGCGCAGATGGGAGACATCTGGCTTGTTTCCATGCCACAGGATTCATCTAGCATCGCTGTAATTCGCTCTGCCAGGACTCTGTTCGCTCTCTCTGCAACACCATTCTGCTGAGGGCGATTGCGCACTGTGTGCTGGCGCTTAATGCCACAGTTGGTTGTGTCTGGTTCTCAGCATATGCCTGGAACTGCTTGAAAGCGGAGAATGTGTCTGATTTGACCTTGAGAGGGATAACCACTCGAAATCTCGAATAGTCGCAGATGAAGGTGGCCCAATCGCGATATCCTTGGAAAGTGCGATAAGGCCAAGGGAAGGAGGTCTTCTGCCCTGTATAGCGATGAAGGGAAGGTATTTGCGTGCATCTTGCCAGCCAGGCATGGCTCACAGATGGGATCTGGCAGGGCCTTCGACTCCAGCTTCAATCCAGTGACAAGATTGCGGTCTATGAGCGTCCTAACACCTGCTATGTGGTGATGGGCAAGTCTTCTATGCCAGAGGGTGATATCCAGAGGCAGCGTCGTTGCAGGAGAGGCAGACTCGCAGTTTGCAACAGTGGAACCCTCTAGATGTGTGGCACTGTTGTTGTTGATAGAAGCGGTGAAGAGGGGAGTGTCCTGAGAGCGATAGAAGCTCATATGCGTCGAATTGATTGTGACTGTGAATCCCTTGTGTTTGGTGAGGTATAGGACTGCCAGGAGATTGGTCCTAAGGTCTGGGACATGCAGAACGCGAGTGAACTCGACGGATCTGCCTGGTTTGCCTCCAATGGTTGGGCTAAACACCACAGTGCCTATCCCAGCAGAGAAAACAATGGTGCTGTCTGCTAGCTTGATTGGAACGCGCTGGGGCTGATAGTTGCGCATCCAATGGCGATGGGGAGTCATATGGGAGGTGGCACCAGTGTCTGCTATCCATTCCACATCAGCATCGAGCTGGAGGGGGCAGAATGGGTCTGTGGGGTCGAAAGTGCGAAGTACAGTGTTCATGGCATATTCTGTGATATCCCCTGAGTACTGGGATGCATGGATCGGCGGAGGAGGCTTAGTGGGAGTCTGAGAATGCTTGGAACGACGATGCTGCGTGTATTGAGGCTGGTAGGAGTGCATGACAGTGCAGGAGTGGACACAGTGTCCAGGGAGTGCACAGAACAAGCAGGAAGCCATAGAGGCACATCTGCAAGTCTCCAGTGGTGCTGAAAGCAAGGTACAAGACTTGGAGTTCATTGTAGCGCAGATAAGATTGAATTGGGAGCAAGGCTCAACCAAGGGGTTGTTGAAGCTCTGAAGAGCTAGGAGCGACTTAGCCACTATTTGTTACAAATGGGCGAGTGACCACGGGAGAGAAAAGATGACCAGACTAGGGATTGAACCCAGGACCTCCTGGACATATACCGGTCGCTCTAACCACTGGGCTGTGTGGTCGGGGGTAACACGGGGTTGAAAGGCTAGACAAGGGTCTTACAGCAAGGAAACATCAACTTGCAGCATCAATTATGTGGCTGACAGCACCAAGTGTCTATAGACCGTTAGATGAGCGCTAGGCATCATCTAACACTACTGGGGCAGCCTTAAGCACTGGAGCTATTGGTCCAATGCTGAGTGTGCTGAGGCTGGTACCTGCGCATGACAGCGCAGGAATGGACGCAATGGCCAGGGAGTGCGCAGAATGAGCAGGAAGCCTCAGGGGCACATCTGCATTGCTCTAGAGGTGCTGACAACGAAGTAGAAGAGTTGGAGGGCATAGCAGCGCAGATAAGATAGGATTTGGGAGCAAGGCTCAACCAAGAAGTGTCCAGGACGATTAGAGACAATCCAGGGACTGTTGGAGTGGCTAGAGCGCGGGGCTCATAACCTGTTAAAGCTCAGAGAGCTTGGGGAGCGAACTAGCCACTTGGTGGGCTGCCTTAAGCACTGGAGCTAGTGTCCAGAGTAAGCAACTGTATTCAGCAGGACCATAAGTACACCTAGTGTCCAGAGTAAGTAGCTAAGGGAAACAAACTATGGACGATGTAGCTATATATCTAGGTAGTAGGCTGTGCAACACAGCCCACACAGCATGTACAGCAAGTACAGCAAACACTGCATAAACAGGAATGCACAGTAATGCACAGACATCAGCAGAAGCATCCAGAGCTATGTGGAATCACCAGAACGAACAGAGGTTTGTCCTAAGGTCTGGGACATGCAGAATGCGAGTAAACTCGACGGATCTGCCTGGCTTCCCTTCAAAATGCCAGCTGAGAAAACGATGTTATTGTGTGCTCGCTTGATTGGAATGCGATGGGGTTGATAATTGCGTATCCAGTGGCGATGGGGAGTCATATGGGACGTTGCACCAGTGTCTGCTATCCATTCCACATCAGCATCGAGCCGGAGGGGAGGAGGCTTAGTGGGTGTCCTAGAATGCTTGGAATGACGATGCTGCATGTAGTGAGGCTGGTAGGAGTGCATGACAGCGCAGGAGTGGACACATTGGCCTGGGAGTGCACAGAACAAGCAGGAAGCCTTAGAGGCACATCTGCATTGCTCTAGAGGGGGTGAAAGAAGCGAGGTACAAGACTTGGAGTTCATTGTGGCGCAGATAAGACAGTATTGGGAGCAGAGCTCAACCAAGGAGTGGTCAGGATGTGTTGAGGACGATCCAAGGACGCTAGAAGTGGCTAGAGCATGGGGCTCATAACCTGTTACAGCTCAGAGAGCCTGAGGAGCGAAATAGCCACTATGTGGGCTGCCTTAAGGACTGGGACTGATGTCCAGAGTAAGTAACTGTATTGTGTAGGATCATAAGTACAGCATACCTGATGTCCAGAGTAAGTAGCTAGGGAACTAACTATGGACATCGTAGCTATATATCTACAGGATAGGCTGTGCATACACAGCTAACACAGCATGGCAGTGAGTACAGGATGTACAGGAAGTGAAGCATAGCAGGAGCTGTACAGTACCTGTGTGCACAGCAGTGCACAGGACCAAGGCAAAGTGGCTAGTTCACTCCCCAAGCTCTCTGAGCTTTCACACAGCACTTGTCCTGACATCGCCTTCACTGTGATCACTGTTGCTTGATTAGGTTAGTGTGAACAGGAGCAGATGGTGGTAAAGGAGGTGGCCTCATGCCAGTCTGCTGAAGGTGAAGTCGTGTGGTCCCAAACCTGACGCATTCCAAGTGCGGGACTTGTGCAGACAATAAATGGGTACATGGCGCAGTCATGTTTGGTTATTGTTCAGGGGTAGAAGCCAGAGCTCTCTCTGAAGTTATCCAAGGCATCAATTTCTTTGTAATTTGGGGACCTGGGGCAAAGATGCAAGTAGTTTGATATGCTGCCAACTGTGTGTGTTCTTCCGAACACGAAGAAGAAACATATGTTGAAGCTCAGAAGAGCTGAGGAGCGAAATAGCCACTTAGTGGGTAGCCTTAAGCACTGGAACTAGCGGTCCAGAGTAAGTAACCAATATATTAGTGATATAAGCATACAGGATATCATACCTAGTGGTCCAGAGTAAGTAACCAAAGGGAAACAAACTATAGACACATCGTAGCTATATATCTACAGGATAGGCTGTGCATACACCGCCAACACAGGAATGCAGTGAGTACAGCACAAGCAAGAAGCGTAGCATAGCATGAAGGAGCTGTACAGTTGCAGTGTGTACAGCAGTGCACAGGACAAAGGCAGTGCACACCAGAGAGTGTGGAATCAGCAGAACGAACAGCATAACCATCAGAATACTACCTTGAAGACATTCCTTGACTTGGTGGGAGATGCGATAATGTGCGGTAACTGGCTTGATGGGAAGAACCTCAGCCCCAATCTGCCCCCATGGGCACCACCAATACTGTTAAAGCTCAGAGAGCTTGAGGAGCGAAATAGCCACTTGAGGGGCTGCCTTAAGCACTGGGACTAATGTCCAGAGTAAGTAACTAGGGAAACTAACTATGTGACATTGTAGATATATGTCTACAGTATGGGCTGTGCATACACAGAAAACACAGCATGGCAGTGAGTATAGCATGTACAGGAAATAGGGCATAGCAGTAAAGGCTATACAGTACCTGTGTGCACAGCACTGCACTGGACCAAGGCAGTGCGGAATCACCAGAGCGAACAAATACTCCACTGCACCAATAGAACCAAACCATGCATGTGACTCTGAAGGAAGGCACCAAGAGCCAAAAAAGCAACAACCCGCAGGACCTAGTTACGCTGGAGGGCGCCCCTGCTGCCATACATTCCACCACCTGGACCTCATAGGGATGGAGGCTTGTCATGCATTCCAGAGCTATGACCTTTACACACCACGATTGCTGTGGAATGACCACTTACATAGTGGGAAACACAGGGTGCACAATATGGGCGGTTATGCATCCCCAATGCGAACTTTGCAAGGATAGCTTGAAGGAGGCTTTCAAATGCGCAACAGACATGTCCGAGGACGGAAGGTACCCCCAGGCAGATGTGGCCACCGTCTGCTTGGAAGACAGTGACATGCTCTTAATGGCATTTATGGAAGAGAAAGGTTTACAAACGACCACCGTCCTGGGTTCTTCCGCTGGATGGTCATTGCACTGAGGTATTGATCAGAGCCAAGCAAGTCCTTGAAAGCTTTCTAAATTACCATACAACTAACATACCAACATAGAGAAAATTGGACAATGCAGCCTCCTCAGCCTGTTGCTCATGGTCCTCAACCTGAAGCAATATAGCAGGAAGCCTCCCATCAACAAAGGCCTCTCTGTGCTGGCTGAGGAGGAATACAGTGACATGGCCTTTGCTGCCAAATGCGCAGAGGGCTTACTGGCCAGGATGGGCATGACCATGGAAGGCACTGAAGTGTTTGTTGCCAAGGAACCCCACTTGACCTCCATTGCACAAAGGAGAATTACATCCTCTTTTCTGAGGCCGGGGTCCTCACATCTGGCAAAAGCAAGATCAGCATCTCCTATGACTCAAGGTTGTCAGCCCTCGAAATATGGGCCTACACCAGCTGTATCCATAATATGCCAGGTACATGGGCCGCTGCCACCATACAGGCCTCTGATCTTAAAGCTATTCCCAGAAAATTGAACTACTGGTACAGCACAACGACGTTTAGCGAATTCCTTGAACTATGGAAACTAACCATGAAGCAGCCAGATATTGCCATCAGCCCTGAGGGTGACTACTGGCCATCTTTAATGGTGGAAGTGGGTTGGAACCAGAAATATAAGGACCTTCTGGAGAGTGCGAAGATTTAACTGCTAGGTGGAAGGAGTGACAACAGCTCTGGGGAGGTGAACTACACCTGTGGTTCCCGTTGATGAGAACCACCTCTGTATTCTCGGCCCCCTCTTTCCAGACTACATGGTTTGTGTACAACCCTTCCTTTGCAGGGCATAGGGAGTGTCTGCTTACCTCCTTCCAATGGATCCCCACAGTGATGGCGTTGGCCAGGATCTTGTTCTGGAGTGCTTTGTGCTCCACTCGTCTCGTGAAGGGCTCAACCCACATCTTTATCTCCCCCAAGTGGCAATCGTTGATGGGGTGTGGGTTGAGCCCTTCACCATTGTCATAAGATCGTAGCTCAGGATGACTTTGATGGTCTCTTCCTGGATTTTGTCATGCAGCTTCTGGCCTGACACGGTGAAAATGTTTGGGATCTGTGTGGGATAGTGTCAGCAACTGGCCAGGCAAAGACAGTGTTACTCTGTTGAAACATGTTTCAACAAACGCTCCGCTTGTGGGTGATGTTTTTGTTGAAACACATTTCAGTAAGTCAGCCAGGCTTGTTTATTGAAACACATTTTAACAAAACAAGTCACCTGTGGGCAACGTTTTATTGAAACAGCAAACATGCGATACTTCTTGAGATTTTGCACAGATGGGGAATTAAACCCAGTGCCTTAGCACAAAAGTAACCACAGAGCATTGGCCCACTGTGCCACAAGGTCTTTAGTATGTTACACTTTCGTTCTGCTGATTCTCTCTGGTGTGCACTGGTGTGCACTGCCTTGGTCCTGCACTGCTGTGTACACTGCTGTTGTACAGCTCTTTTCTGCTATGCTGCGCTTGCCTTACATGCTGTACTCACTGCCTTGCTGTGCTACCTGTGTATGCACAACCTATCCTGTAGATATATAGCTACGACATGTCCATAGTTAGTTTCCTTTGGTTACTTACTCTGGACACATAGGTATGTTACTATAGCATCTCAATATATTGGTTACTTACTCTGGACACATAGTTCCAGTGCTTAAGGCTGCCCACTGAGTGGCTATTTCGCTCCCCAGCTCTTTTGAGCTTTAACAATATACTATAGGTCGACGTTTTGACTTGTAAATAACATCATATGTATGCTGTAGGACGACATTTTTACTGTCAAATCCGGTTCCTCCAGTGCTTTCCGGGGAACTCCGGACTAGGGAGTAAGCGTAAGAATGTAGATAG